CTGACACCAATGAGGGGGTCACTATTTTTCCCATTGACATCAACGATGGGTCACTATTCTTTCCATTGATACCAATGATGGGGTGCTATTCCTTCCACTGATGCCAATGATGGGGTGCTATTCCTCCCACTGACACCATTGATGGGGAACTATTCTATCCAATGACAGGAACGATGAGGAACTATTCCTCCCACTGCCGTCAACGATTGGGGCACTATTCCTTCCACTGATACCAATGATGGGGCACTATTCCTCCCACTGATACCAATGATGGGACACTATTCCTCCCACTGATACCAATGATGGAGCACTATTCCTCCCACTGATACCAATGATGGGGCACTATTCCTCCCACTGATACCAATGATGGAGCACTATTCCTCCCACTGACACCAATGATGGGACACTATTCCTCCCACTGATACCAATGATGGGGCACTATTCCTCCCACTGATACCAATGATGGGATACAATTCCTCCCACTGACACCAATGATGGGACACTATTCCTCCCTTTGACAACAACGATGGGGCACTATTCCTCCCACTAATACCAAAGAGGGCACATTGTTTTCTCCCACTGACATTGGATCATTTTCTAGTCCTGCAGGCCAAAGTCTGGCCCCCTAAAGTTTGAAGGACAGTAAATTGGCCTTTTGTTTAGAAAGTTTGGAGTTTCCTGATCTAGAACTAAAAAAAAAAAAAAAAAAAAAAAATTGGTTAGCATTCCACTTTCTTGAGGGAAGTTTTGTAGAAGTTCAGGGATTTCTTTATAATTAAACAACTCAGTTATTTGGCTGACGATAGGATAGAACTGTAATCTCAACCAAACAGGCCTATTTCAAAGCCTCTAATAAAAGATATCATTTGCAAGGCTTTTTACTACGTATTTCTTTTCCTCTATCAGATTCAGACTCACCATAAATTAGGTGGGTACTTTCTTCTACCTAATTAAAAATACAGTATTTGCACAAAAAAAGAAAAAAAGAATGCTGTAGGCAAACAAATGCACTGCTGTTATCTGAATCATACAAAAATAGATCTATCTTTGTTTATATAGATGGTGAGGGGTATAAAAATATTCATTTGAACTTCTTTCAAACGATATGAGTGCCAAAGATCCAACCCCAAGAAACATCAAAGTTTAATGAAACAACAATGAAAAGTCATTCTTCCGCCTAGTTATCTTGTCTATCGCCTCTTCGTTAAAGTCATAATAACTCAGTATAAACATCCTGAAGTGACATTTCCCTTCATAGGATATCCTACAATCCATTTTTGTATACTTATTTTGTAGTTCTGCCCCATAAGAGGGCAATAAAGGGCAATCTGTTCACCCTATTGTTGGCTCCAATTTCTTTTTGTGTGTTATGGTGCCTGGCAACCTGGTACACTGGCAGGTGAAGCAGGATCACTCAAGGCATGGAGTGTAGATACCAGCTGGTCTTCACCAGAGCTCCTGATGGTGGAGATTGGATGGGAAATCCTGCTGTTCCCTGGTTTTCTTTGCTACAAACTGGCACCAGGTCACAACCCTCAAGATTGTCCCACCAAAGGGTTGCTGTGACAGAATGAATACATTGCGGACACTGTTCACGATTCTATAGACAAGATAGTAGTCAGGTCCAAGCAGATGTTATGGTAGGCAGCAGACAAGAGAACATTTAGTTCCAGGCAGGGGTTGAGCCAGGCAGCTGGCAAGAGAGTAGTCAAGTCCAGGCATAGGTTGTAGCAGGAAAGAGAGTGGTCAGGTCCAGACAGAGGTTGAAGTTGGGTGGCAGGCAAGATAGTGGCCATGTCCAGGCAGAGGTTGAAGGTGGGTGGCAGGCAAGAGAATGGTGAGGTCCAGGAAGAGGTTGAAGGCAGGTGGTAGGAAAGAGAATGGTCAGGTTCAGGCAGAGGTTGAATGGTAGGTGGCAGGCAAGAAAGGAATCAGGTTTAGGCAGAGGTTGTGGCAGGTAAAGGCAGGCAAAAGAAGAGTGGTCAGGTCCAGGTAGGGATCGAGGTGGCAGACAGCAGGAAAGAGAGAGGTGTCCAGGTCAATTTAGGTTAGCAACAAAGAATGTCAGGCATGTGTGAGAGGTGCAACATGGTGCGGATAGTAATTGCACAGACCCTGGTTGTAGGAAAACTTGGAACTTGTATTAAACAGAATGCCAACCTTATAAACACCCTGGCAAGAGACCACAGCTTGAGAAACAACTCGAAGTTCAATGCAGTCAGATGTAGAGGGGAGAGGTGCCGACAGAGTCTGTTGCAGAGAATGAAGCTCAGCCTGGCCAGTCAGGTCCCAAGAGGGAGGCTCCTATCCAGGAACGTGAGGCCCTAATCTTTCCCTCCTCATCAGGAGCCTTTCCCTACCGTTAGCTGCTTTCCCTAACCAGTGGGGTTTCTCCCCCTACACTACCCACATGCACAAGCACCCCAAAACCCAGGGTAGGGGATTAAATAGACCCTGAAGACCCAAAAAGGCTGCCGAGGGTCACATAGACACAGAGTAACCAACCAGGACACTGCTTCATTGACCCAGGAAACCACAGAGAAACGTCATTTCCCTTGGACTTCCTCTCTAGGCTGTGGTGCCACTTAGTTGAGTGCCACATGCAACTAACAGGTAAGTATTTTAGCACTTTATCTCTCAGGTAGCTGGTGATAATACACAGCACCAGACACTTCAAAGGCGGAAGTTTAATATCCTTTGGTCAGGGGTCACATCCAGCATCAATACTGGGAACTTGGAGCTAGTGAAGGCCCTAGGAATTCTGAAAGATCCGGTAGGGATCCTGCAAAGAATCCTGGAAGACCCACCAGGGATCCTGTTAATATGGTAACCTAGTGATTATTATAGGGTGTATCACTTTTGTGATTCCACTAATATACAGTATGTCCATCCTGCATATTCATTCTCTACCTCTCATCTAATTTTTCAACAGGTGGAAGTTCACAGTGTTGGATTCTCCCATTTGACTCAAAAATGTGCTCCCAGCAAAATCTCCAATTAGGGCTATGCGTGTCCAGCAGAGTCTCCACATACATGTGGCTCCAGCAGAGTCTCCACATACATCCAAGAGTGGCCTGCAGAATCTTCCCTTAAATCCATGTGGCTCCAGCAGAGTCTCCACATACATCCAGGAGTGGCCTGCAGAATCTTCCTTAAATCCATGTGGCTCCAGCAGAGTCTCCACATACATCCAGGAGTGGCCTGCAGAATCTTCCCTTAAATCCATGTGGCTCCAGCAGAGTCTCCACATACATCCAGGAGTGGCCTGCAGAATCTTCCCTTAAATCTATGTGGCTCCAGCAGAGTCTCCCTCAACCTTTCAGGCCAATAGTTCAGCAACCCAAGAGGGGGGAATGGCCTGCTTGGGGAGGTCAATCAGTGGATCTTATCTCTATAAATATATCCATGCCAGCTAGCTCTACGGGTCAGATGTGGCCCATACGCGCCGTAGTTTGGAGACCCTTGGTCAGGGGCCTGACAACTCATGGGGCCCCTGAAGTAGGGGATCATGGGGCCCCTGAGTCAGCCTACATCAAAAAAAGCCTATAAAAGGTACCAGGGGCATTTCACGGGGCCCCCTACTGACCCAGGCCCTCGGGCAGTGCCCGATTTTTCGAATGGTCAGTGCCCCTGCCCTTGGTCTATATGGAAAGGATTTTCTATTCCAAATCTCTAGTTTGTCAGGTCTCCTCTCTCTGTTTCAAGAAGTGAACTTTTACATTTTCATCCAAGAAGAACCATGGCCAACGGAAAATGCAGAATACAGACAACAGCCAAGTTCCACAAATTTTGCAAACTTTCACTGAAACTCAGCTGGGGGGGGGGGGGGGGGTCAGTAAAAAAGGATCTCCAGTACATACCCCAATAAATGCACACTGCTGACCTTGTGGCTGGCTTGTGCCTATTAAATGTTTTCCTTAAAATCACACTTTAAAATAGTGCTGTGCCTAGCAGATTATGTCATCAGTCTGCTGCTCTGGCAGGTGGAAGCAGTTTCCTCAGTCTCCTCTTTCCTAGTGACTTTGCCTAGCCACAATGAAGTCACAGTCTGCTGCAGGCACAAGGAAGCATTTCCTCAGTCTTCTCTGTGACTTGGGCTGAATGTGCACAGCTATTGCAGGCAGGCACCTCCTCAGTCTCCTCTCCCTCTGTGATGTAGTTATCTGCTATATTCTAATATCCTCATCTTCTCTTCCTCGGTGACTTTGCCTAGTCACATGTCTGCTGCAGGCAGGAGAAAGCACCTCCTCAGTCTCCTCTCCCTCAGTAACTTTGTCTAGGCCAGGGGTGGGCAACTGTGGCCCTCCAGCTGTTGTAGAACTACAAGTCCCATGAGACATTGCAAAACTGACAGTTACAAGCATGACTCCCAAAGGCAGAGGCATGATGGGACTTGTAGTTCACCAACAGCTGGAGGGCCACAGTTGCCCACCCCTGGTCTAGGCTGAGATGATGCAATCAGTCTGCTGCAGGCAGGGGGAAGCACTTCCTCAGTCTCCTATCCCTTAGTGACTTTGCCTAGACTGAGATGATGCCATCAGTCTGTTGCAGGCAGAAGAAAGCACTCCTCAGTCTCCTCAGTCTTTGCCTCCCCTCCTGCTGCAGAGGGGGAAGTCAGTCTCCCCTCCCCCAGTGATCAGACTGCAACATTGTAACTTTATAGCAAATCACAAGATGAGAAGCTGCAGCAGGGGCTGATCTGTGTCAGATATTTGCGAACACAACCAACTCCAGGATTCAAATGACTGGTATCTCAGTCTAGGATGTAAATGGTGACCCTGAATGATGATTGAACAAAATGGCGCCGCCCTTCTGGAGAGAAAAGCAGATGAAAGCATTGTCAGGGGGTGCTGTGATCTCTGGGAGAGGTAATATATACCTGACATATTACTTAGAATGCATTCACGCAAAGATCCACATACAAATAAGTTCCCGGTGTGACTCGGATTGCAGTCTCCATCGTCTTGGTGCAGGAAATGCGCAGACACATACACTCACACCGGTGGAGGTCTGTCTGCTGACAGATGTGTGCTGATTGTCCTCCGGATCAGACAGTTTCCCCGGGAAGCTCCCATCCAAACTGCTATCTAAAGACGTCGGAGACAAAGACCCAGACTCTCCCGTCTCCCCCTACAGGACACAAAGAGAAAAGTTAAAGGGGAACTCCATCTGTTGAAATACAGACAGTAGACGTAACTGTTCAGCCAGCCTTGCGAATCAGATGCGTCAGGTATAAAGCAAGGGTAGGCAATGCCAGCACTCCACTGTGGTGAAACTACAAATCCCATCGTCCAGCTGCCTCTGCGAGTCAGGCCTTGCAATGCCTCATGGGAGTTGTAGTTCCCTGGAACGCTGAGGTTGCCTACCGCTGGTATAATACATAGTGGTATAACACAACCAGGGGCGGACTGACCATTTTGGAAACTTGGGCACTGCCCAAGAGCCCGGGGTTAGTAGGGGGCCCCATGAGATGCCCCTGGTACCTTTTTCATAGGCTTTTTTGAGTTTGAAGACACAGGGGCCCCATGATCCCCTATTGCCCGGGGGCCCATGAGTTGTCAGTCCGCCCCTGAACACAACCTCTGCAGATTTGCAGCTTCTTGTGTCACATGCATGGCTATTAAAGAAAATCAACTCTCTGCTGAGGTCCTTCTAGCCCCCCAGTGCCTGAAACATGTCAGACAGCAATGTAAGATAATATTAAGATACTCAGGGGCCACATTTATTAGGGCCACCTACATGTTAAGTATCCAAAACAGTCATGAGGCTGCAGCATAAAGAACACAGACATCACCAAGCCATCCCCCCCCCCCCCCCCCCCCGCTGATCTCCTCTCACCATCTCGTCAGCCATGGCCTTCATCATCATCTTGCCGCTTTTCCTGTTCATCGTCCTCGATATCACCGCCCGCCATTTCTTGCCTAGTTTTACTGCACTGCGTTTCCCTTCTTCATGGGCGTGCGTGTTTTCATCCTCTGGGATCTGTGAAGGAAAAGCCGGAATCAAATGACAAACCTGAAACGTTGTTTCATTTCCCATTTCCTGTTCTTAGTCACAATGGTCACCCAGTTGTACCGGTCAGGGGCGGATTTCCCCGCACACTGTGAACTCATGTGCATTCCCCAGGGAGCTCCAATAGGGGATCATGGGCGCCCCTGTGTCCTTGCCCCGCCTCAAAAACGCTTTTCATATGAAATCAATGGTACCAAGGTGGTCTACCTAGGGTCGGCCACTGACAACTTTACATGGGATATTTGCCTCCCCCCAATAGGGGCCCATCATGGCTAAGGCCCTGCGAGATGTCCTTGTCCACGAACTCATCAAAAAGCCTATGAAAAAAGAAGGTGACCAATGGGTTTTCATCTCATGGGATGCCCCCTGTTTGTCACTTACCCATGGCCCAGTCGGGAAGTGCCCTGAGTTTCCAAATGGTCAGTCCTGCCCCTGCCATTCACAATGCGTCTTGAACAGGGGCGGACTGTACAAGCACTTTCTCTCCTGGGCACTGAAATGGCTTCCTCTGATTTTCCCCGCACACCCCATGAGTGAGCTGCTCACCATGTGCATTCCTTCATGAAATGCTGCAGCCTCTTCAGCATGAGAGCTCTGCCCCACTCATTTCCAAGAATGGCTGGAGGATGTCCAGATCTTCTAGTGCAAATTCTCCTCTCTCCAACTGAGAATCCGCGAGATGTGCTGGAAAAACTTCCCCTGGCCCCCCCATTTCATTAATTGGATTTCAGTTCTTTGATCAGTTTGGAGGCCAGATACCACAGCATACCTGCAGAGGTCTAGTGGAGTCCATGCCTACATGGGTCAGGACTGTTTTGGCAGCAAAAGGGGGACCTACTCCATATTATGTGGGTGGTCATCAAGTTAATGGCTGATGGATATGTATTGATGGGTGATGGGTGTGTATTTATATTGTATACAGTCATGGACAAAAATATTGGCACCCCCACATTTCTGTCATATAACTTCGCCCAGAAAATTGTTGCAAAATATATATAGTCATGGCTAAAAATATCGGCACCCCTGCAATTCCACATCTCCCAGAAAATTGTTTCACTTAAAATTGTTTCAGCATTCTCATGTTTATTTCTTTTGTTTGTATTGGTATGACACAAAAAACATGGAAAAACAAAAAGCCAAATCTGACACATTCCATGGAAGACCCCAGAAATGGACTGGACAAAATTATTGGCACCTCCTCAAAATTGTAAGAAATAATTGCATTCCAAGTTTGTGATGCTCCTGTAATTTGTAAACTCACCTGTATCAATTAACAGATCATAATGTTCCTGTGTCCACTGTGCGCAACATTGTCAAGAAGTTTACAGCCCATGGCACTGTAGCTAATCTCCCTGGATGTGGACTAGAGGGAAAAAATTGATCAAAGATTGCAATGAGGGATTGTTGGAAGGGTGGATAAAGAACCTCCATCAACTTCCAGACAAATTCAAGCTGACCTTCAGGTACTGGGTACAACTCTGTCCACTCACACTATACGTCACCATCTGAATGAAAAGGGACGCTATGAGACCCAGAAGGACCCCATTGCTGACACAGAAATATGGTAGGAGACCCAGGAGGACCCCACCGCTGACACAGAAATATGGTAGGAGACCCAGGAGGACCCCACCGCTGACACAGAAATATGGTAGGAGACCCAGGAGGACCTGGTAGGGTAGGACCCAGGAGGACCTCACTGCTGACACAGAAGCATAAAAAAGCCATTCTGGAGTTTGCCAAAATGGACCCAAGGATGCCAAAATCCTTTTGGGAGAATGTGCTGTGGACAGACAGAACAAAATTCTAGCTTTTTGGTAAAGCCCATCATTCTACTGTTTTCAGAAAAAGCAATGAGGCCTTTAAAGAAAAGTATCCAGTCCCTCCAGTCACACATGGTGGGGGTCACTGATGGTTTGGGGTTGCTTTGTTGCTTCAGGCACTGGATGTCCTGACCGTGTGCATGGCATTATGAAATCTGAAGACTACCAAAGAATTCTGGGGTGCAATGTAGGGCCCGGTGTCAGAAAGGTAGGTCTCCGTTAGAGGTCATGGGTCTTCCAGCAGGACAATGACCCAAAGCACTTGTCAAAAAGCCCCCAGAAATGGTTTCAGAGAGAAGCCCTGGAGAGGACAGAACTGCCCAGCAATGAGTCCAGATCTCAATCCCATAGAGCTCCTGTGGAGAGATCTCAGAACAGCAGTTGGGAAAAGGAACCCTTCCAATCTGAGAGACCTGGAGCAGTTGGTGAAAGAAGAGCGATCCAAAATTCCAGCAGAGAGGTAGAAGAAACTCATTGATGGTGACAGGAAGCCATTGATTTCACTTATTTTTTCCAAGGGGTGTGCTACCAAATATTACATTGAGGGTGCCAATAATTTTGTCCAGTCCATTTTTGGGGTTTTGTGCGGAATGTGTCAGATTTGGCTTTTTGTTTCTCCACTCTTTTGGGTCATACCAATACAAACCAAAGAAATAAACATGGGGATGCCGAAACAATTTTAAGAGCAACAATTTTCTGGGAGAAGTGGAAATACAGGGGTGCCGCTACTTTTAACCATGACTGTATATATATATATATGACTTTTCATTGTAGTTGAGAATCGCTGTCTGAGCACGGAGAGAAGTCCGCTCTGATCTGACGTCACCTGGTATGTCACCACTTCACCCGTCCCCAGACGTCCTGTCACTTAGGTAAGAGGGAACCTGGCAATCCGCCATGTCTGAAACTTATTAAGGTCACCAAGATCTCATGTGAAGAAGGGGAAGTCTGGGGGGATTGAGCAAGTTCCCCCACTTGACAGCACTGGAGATATCTGACCAGGGGCGGACTGACAACTCATGGGGATCATGGGGCCCCTGTGTCCTTGCCCACACCCAAAAAAGCCTATGAAAAAGCCAATGAAAGGTACCATGGGCATCTCATGGGGCCCCCTACTGACCCCGGGCCCCTCGGGCAGTGCCCGAGTGCTCGAATGGTCAGTCCGCCCCTGTATCTGACAGTTACATCATCCTGCAGATTAGCTGGATCCTCCGGGGTGTCAATCCACTAATGTGAGTTATATTAACATAGATTGTCAAATAGACGTAAACCCAACGGGGTCATAAAAGCTTTAAAGCCCATCTGAACCTTTATCCTCCTAGATTGTAAGCTCTCCGGATCAGGGCCCTCTGTTTCCTCTTGTACCAAATTGTATTGTAACTGTTATGTCTGCCTTCATTTTGTAAAGCGCTGAGCAAACTGTTGGCTCTATATAAATCCTGTATAATAATAGATACACTGAGCTAAATACATTCCAGGTGCAGTCAGGGGCGTATTTACCACAAGGCAAACAGGGCATTTGCCTAGGGCGGCATTTTTCAGGGGGGGCAGCACTGCCCCTGGAAAGAAGGGATGGAAGAAGGGACACACGCGGCATGGGGACCTGGTGGGTCCACTGTGGGTTTCATGACGGTGTATGCACAGCCCGACTCTCGTTCCTGGGGATGTCCGGAGCTGTGAAGTTGAGTGTCTTTCTCTCTCTCGCCATGGGGGATGATGGCTGCTGTATGGGGGCAGTGGTAATGCAAGGCTCGGGTGGAGGGCAGAAGTGCTCTTGGTCAATGTCAGGCTCTTTCTGTGGGGGTGGGGCACCGATTTTTGTGTTGCCTAGGGCAGCACAAAACCTAAATACACCACTGGTGCAGTAAAGCAAAATGTGTGCAAGTTGGCTTTCTTTGGAAAGCAGACACAGTCTGAGTAGAAAAGCCTGTCCCCTGCCTGAATGCTGCAGAGCAGAACCTATGCCCTCTGCGTGGAAGCAGTGGTATCTCTGCAGAGGTCCTGTTGCTGATTCAGATCTATAGCTTTTCATACAGCAAAGCTCTTGCTCCCCGCTGATTGGAAAGCCGTGGCTCTGACACAGCAGGAGACGTATTCAGGGGCGGACTGACCATTTGGAAACTCGGGCACTGCCCGAGGGCCCGGGGTTCAGTAGGGGGCCCCATGAGATGCCCCTGGTACCTTTTTCATAGGCTTTTTTGAGTTTGGGCAAGGACACAGGGGCCCCATGATCCCCTATTGCCCGGGGGCCCCATGAGTTGTCAGTCTGCCCCTGGACATATTAGACCTCTGCAGACAGACCACTGCTTCCACGCAGGGAGCGAGGGTCCAATGCTGTAGCTGCTGGCAGGAGACAGGCTTTTCTACTCTAAGAAATAATTTTTCTGCAGAGGTCCAACATGCCCCCCCCCCCCCATCCCACAGAGTCAGAGTAATGAGACCACTGCTTCCCCACAGAGAGAAGGTGTATTTAGCCACTATATGCCATTCAGTAAGGATTTACATCTAAAATACATTGTGCTGCATAAAAATGAAAGGTGTCTTATGGTTTCTAACGCAGCCACAGCCTGAGGAGCCAACAGCTGCAGAGAGGAACTTACTTTCTCTGGGGAAGCAGTGGTCTCATTGCAGGGATCTGGCACACTCCTTGTCAGGGGCGGACTGACAACTCATGGGGCCCCCGGGCAATAGGGGATCATGGGGCCCATGTGTCCTTGCCCAAACTCAAAAAAGCCTATGAAAAAGGTACCAGGGGCATCTCATGGGGCCCCCTACTGACCCCGGGGCCCTCGGGCAGTGCCCGAGTTTCCAAATGGTCAGTCCACCCCTGCTCCTTGTTAAGTCAGAACTATGCCTCTACAATCAGTGAGCTGTGACCAGGGGCGGACTGACCATTCGAGCACTCGGGCCCGGGGTCAGTAGGGGGCCCCGTGAAATGCCCCTGGTATCTTTTATAGGCTTTTTTGGGTGTGCTTTGAGTGTGGGCAAGGAAACAGGGGATTCATGATCCCCTATTGCCCGGGGGCCCCATGAGTAGTCAGTCCGCCCCTGGCTGTGACTCAGCAGGGGGGGGGGGCATGTCGGACCTCTGCAGAAAGATCATTGCTTAGAGTAGAAAAGCCTATCTTCCCCCATCAGCTACAGCATTGGACCCTTGCCCCCTGCGTGGAAGCAGTGGTCTCTCTGCAGAGGTCTAATATGTCTCCT